GTGGAGGCAGGCAGGACGACGAGGACGACAAGGATTCCAATAATGACTTTTAATGTAGACACAACCAGGCAGATACAGGAAGGAGAGACACACACACTCAGGGTAACATTCACAATAACCAACAATTCGAATACAAGAGACAGGAACAGATATAGGGCAGATAACGAGGGGCAGACAGGTGAGCACAATGAGGTGATTAACTAATAACGAGAACAGGAACAACCAAATAAGGACACAGAGGGAGAAACCACAATCCACAGTCCACAGGGGTGTGACAATATTCTTGCTTTTTGTCTACATTATTTCTTTGCTTGGAAACTCTTTGCTTGAAAAATGTTTGTTATTATTATTATAGACCGAAATCTTCACACTCCTAAATACATTGCTGTCTTTAATTTATCACTGACAGACATTTGTGAGAGTACTGCTGTGATCCCTCAGCTACTGGATACGTTTTTGTTTGGGAATCAGTTGATACCTTATGGGTTGTGCATGTCCAATATGTTCTCCAATATAATATAAATCTCCAAGTAATGCTTTTGTACAGCGAGAATAACTGGAAGCGAATAACATCGGAAACCTTGCACATTCAGGTTACATATGGCCGCACACACTCTTACATTAGAAATAAGGTGGATAGACCTTAATGAAGTTACAGTGACGATTGGCACACTGGCGGTTCATGTACACTCACATGTTTGTTTAAGTGTGTTTTTGGGAAACACATAGTAATGTAATGTAGGCCTAACAAATATTTGTAACTTTTCTTGTAGAGCATGTTCTTAAGAGCTACGATCCATTGTTACGGGAAAATGTGGCCCAGGCAAGTCCTTTAGCTGATTATTTTTGTGTGTATAAAAGGGCTTTCTTTTGCATGTTCTTTCACTTGGCCGTGGTCTCCATCCTCACTATTGGTGCATTTGTCTGTTCACATAACTGTTCATTTACAAGAGCCGTCCGATAATGAAGTGAATGATTATTAGCATTGCATTCATGCCTTTAGCTATTAAACAATAATGAATGGTAAAAACTATAGGAACAATAAAATAATACAAAGAGTGGGTCACAAAACAAACCAGGACACTGTGATTTCTTCTGATGGCTCTGATTGCCAAAACAAGCTTTTGGGATGTTTTACGCAGAGATCAAGGAAACTCTTCAACTGCTAGTATTAGCAGTGTTTCCAAAACCCTGCTATTAAAAAAAACCAGCTGTAAAGGATAATATTTCTGTTTCTTTTAAGAGGTATTAGAAGATTTAGCCTTAGTTGTTATGGAGCAACAAATAGGTTTCAGTTTTTCCTCTCTGTGGATTAGTACCAGTGCCAGTTCAGTTCCGTGATTGGTCAGCTGACAAGTCCAGTGAGGCCTGGAGTTTGTAGTAATCGATCAACTGAAGGATATATAGTTCAATATGTAACAGGACAGGGAAAGTCTTTTTTACAGTGCTGTCTGTTGTATACATCAGACCCACTGTTCACCTTTCTGTGAGTACAAGTATTTAAAGATGCACTATAACCTTAATGATTACTATTATTACTAGTATTATAACTGCTTTATATGAAACTGATTAGAACATTTTCTTTCTCTATGTCAACATATCTTTCTTGTCTTGTGAAATTGGTTGTAATTTCAAGTGATTTCTTACCACAATAAATAAATACACTTATTTTCTGCCTAGACAGGATGAATGGAGGATCAGTGAATGAACTAACCATGAATCTTGATTTCACTGAAAACAGGAATATTTCTATTCCATCTTACTTCTACATCACTGGTTTGTCTGGTATGCTTCACATGAGGTACTATTACATTTGTCTGTTTTTTGTCTATTTTATCTCTTTGCTTGGAAACTCCTGCCTCATGTTTGTTATCATTATGGACCGAAATCTTCACACTCCTAAATATATCTCTGTCTTTAATTTATCACTGACAGACATTTGTGAGAGTACTGCTGTGATCCCTCAGCTACTGGATACATTTTTGTTTGGGAATCAGTTGATACCTTATGGGTTGTGCATGTCCAATATGTTCTCCAATATGTTATTTTTTACAGAGCAGTCACTAACTCTCACTGTTCTTTCTTATGACAGATCAGTTGCTATTTCATTACTACTGAGGTATCATATGATTGTGACCCACAGATCAATGCTTGTTATAATTGGTGCTTCATGGACACTAGCACTGTTGCTAACAATGATCGGAGCAATTTTTATGAGCAGACTTTCTTTCTGCAAAGTTATTGTCACTGTTAACAGTTTCTACTGTGATCATGGGCCTATATATCGTTCTGCTTGTAACAATAATTTTCCAAGTTCTGTGATAGCCAGTTTGTTCCCAGCGATCATCCTTGGGTTTCCAGTATTTTTTATTATCTTTTCATTAAATGATTTTAGCAAATGGCTGCAATATAACAAAGAGTGAAAAATTGAAGGGGGTCTGAATACTTTCCGTACCCACTGTATATGCATAGCTGTAACATTGTTCAGAATCACAACCCCACAAGACCGTCAAAGAGCCACAAAGACATGTACTGCTCATTTAATATTAGTGGCTATATTTTATGTGCCCATAACCTTTACATATGCTCTTTCGTCAGTTATAAATGCTAACACAAGGATTTTTAATCTATCTCTGACCACTGTGCTTCCTCCAATGCTTAACCCGATAATCTACACATTCATGACAGAGGAGTTCATGGTGTCTGTGAAAAGACTTCTTAAAAGACAAATCACGTTTCTGTCTTGGAAATAAACTTATTTTTTACCCCAAGTTAAATAACATTATTTTTCAGTGTTGTTTTGTTCATATATCTTCATGATATTTAGAATAATGAATGTTTCGAGATTATATGTTATGAAGTGCAAACAGAAGTTAAAACAGTCATATAAATGCATAACAGAATAAATGCGGTATAAGTCAGTCTTTTATTATACTTTACAATATCAACATCCCATATTAAAGTGTGTTATTTCATTAGTTCATCTTATATCTTTTTCATGTGAGTTAAAAAAAATCTGGATGTCTTGTCAATTTGTGTGGGTAGTTCTTGTTGCAGAACGTATGTGCATAAAAACTCTGGACAAAATTTAAAATGCTAGAGTTATTATTATTATTATTATTATTATTTAATGGGTCCCATAAAAACAGTGTGTATGTGGTTTGAAACAACTTTTTTTTTAAACGATATGGTCTATGGTGAGTTTTTGCCCCCCAGAACCCCCTTTTCACAGCTGAATGAGTTTACATCCCAGACCCATAACGCTAGGATGGGCAGTGTTTTTCATAAACATTTTTTGTTACACTAATTTAAAGTCTCTTCACATCCTGATTGCAATCAATAATTAAAGTGTTCTAAATTATATTTTAAAAAAAAATCTTCTGTGGAAGTCTTAGGACCACAAAATGTTCATCCAATCATTACATTCAGTTCAAATAAATTATATGGTGGCCTGCCTGTCTATTGGGCATGGCTACTGTAGCAGGCTGAGCCAGGTGGGTGTTTAGCTGGTGTGGAAAAGAAAATTAATATTCCATTACAGAAGTGCCAAAATTTGAAGACTTGCCAAAATACACAAAGATGTTGTGTTAAATTACTGGGGTCACACTTCAGAGCCCCAGATACGTCTGACACTCCCCTGGACATACGGGTATAAAAGGAGGCTGTTGTGCTCCACTCATTCAGGTTTGTGCTGAGGAGCTTCCTGGCCATTTTCAGCAGTTCAGAGTTGTTGCGTTGTGTAAAATGACTGACAATAGAGGTCCTAACTAAATGCCGCAACCAACTGAGATGTGTTATGGCTGTGTAAGTGCAGACAGGCTGTCACGTGCCAGGTAGCGGATAAACTCAAGCCATGTCATAACCATCCCAACGCCCAGAGTAAGTGACCTAAATCCCTCTAAGGGAGTTGTCCTCACCATGGGATAAGGCACTTCAGATTTATCTATCCTTTTCTGTTTTTTTTTTTAACTTGCTGCTAAGCAGGCCTGCTTGTTTAGATTGAGAATGTGCTCTCTTTCTTTGCAGAGAAAAGAAACACTAGGGAGACCACATCTTACCTGGAGGGGAGGTTAATATGTGGAAAAAACATCCAATAGACTCACCTAATGAGAAATACTAGATAGGGAAAGGCCCATGTGGTGAGCTCTACCTAATAAGTGAGAGACTGCCAGCCACAGTGACTGGTGACTGAGCGAGGCTCTGTCCAGGGGAAGACACAGTTTTCACCAAAGGGAAAGTGAACAGTGGAAAATACTGTTAGAGCCATAACAATATTAAGAATTTTGTAATATTTTTTCCTTATATTAAGAATGATTGTTTTTCGATAAATGTGTATTTTGTGTTATCACGTGACTTTGACTAGTTTTATACATAACGTATGCGTAAGAAACTTTGAAGAAGAATACGGAAGGAAGGGATGGAACTAGACAGTCTTTTGACCGTGAAAAATTCATGTTTTTAGAAATAGAATAAGTGTAAAGAAGTAACCAAAATACATGGGCTCACCTGAAAAGGGGAATTTTTCAGGTCACAGGGGTGTCCTAGGGTTTGCCAATATGGCAAACTCACCTGGATGAAAGAGCGTCTCAGGGAGAGGAACAGCGCAAGTGCTACACCCAGCTAGTTACCCAAGTTGTACCTGTTATTAACCAAGATTCGGGACAAAACCAGCTCTACCCTGAGATTGTTGAATCTCACAAAGGTGTTCGGTGTAGCCCAGCCCGCAGCTCTACATATATCTGCCAACAAGGCATTATTTGCTAAAGCCAAGGAGGCTGCAACACCCATGGTGGAGTGAGCCCTCACTCCCAGGGGACATGGTATACCTTGGGCTTGATAAGCCAACAGAACGGCATCCACAATCCAGTGGGCCATTCTCTGTTTGGAGACAGCCTTCCCCTTCTTCTGTCCTCCAAAGCAGACAAAAAGCTGGTCAGATATCCTAAAGCTCTGTGTACTGTTCAAGTGTATGTCATGAGGCATCACTTGCAAATTCACCACTTGATCCCTGAAGGAAGAAAAATCAAGTCAATTAAAGTTACCTTTATTTATATAATGCTTTAAACAACACCGATTGTGTTAAAGCAGCTTTATAGTGTTAAACAGGAAAAACGCTTGCTGATAATGCAACAGGACAGAAGAAAACAGTCAGTTTATCAGTTAAAGTCAGTTCATTGATGTGTCCACAACTAAGCATGCCAAAGGCAACAGTGGCAAGGAACCAAAACTCCATCTATGACAGAAATGCGAGAAAAAAACCTTGTGAGAAACCAGGCTCAGTCAGGGGCATGGGCGTAGCTTGTGGGGGGGCCAGGGGGGCCTGGCTCCCCGATAGCAATTTAAGAATTTTACTAAATATTTATTTATAAAGTTTTTTCTATGAAGTAAAATTGCATATAATGCAGTTAATAATACATGTAAAAGTGAATACGTAAAAGTTAATACATTTTAAATTGTTATTGTAAGTAAATTAATAAATCAAAACAAACTTAACGTCTCCCTCAATCTCATTTGCATAAGAATTGTCACGTGACGAATCTGCATTTTGGTGGATAATAGACTTAACGGTAATGCTTGCCTGTTGTGTGGAATAAAATGATGTTCCGCGTTTTTAACAACATACACGAACTGCAGAGAAATCTGGAGACAACGAAAAACTCTGATGAAGATATTAATGCCATGCTTGATGATTCCGGACCCGGACAATCGGATAAAGGTGTGATTTGCTTAATAAAAGCCTCCTTTGAGATCGTTTTGACAGACATGTTTTGTCACAATGAGGAGTCTCGAGATCCAAGTACGAGTGCAATGAGGTTTATTGAGAAACAATAACCAGAAAGAACAGCTTAACACACACACACACCCACATGACAAGACGCAAAAGGACCGCACGGACCCATGAACCGTGACAGTACCCCTCCCCCTAGGAATGCCTCCTGACATTCCCAGGAAGACTTACCTGACGATTAAATTCATCGATAAGAGAGTGGTCCAGTATGTCCCTAGCAGGTACCCAACTTCTCTCCTCCGGACCGTAACCCTCCCAGTCCACCAAGTACTGAAATCCTCGTCCCCTCCGCCTTGAGTCCAGAATATGTTTTACCGAATAGGCTGGTTCCCCGTCTATGAGACGCGGCGGGGGAGGAACCGGGACAGGCGGATGTACCCTAAACTACACTCAAATGGAGATAGACCCGTAGCTGAGACTGGTAACGATTTATGTGCGTACTCAACCCATGAGAGTTGCTGGCTCCACGAGGAGGGGTTCTGAGAAGCCAAACATCGCAACATTCGTTCTAAATCTTGGTTGGCCCTCTCCGTCTGACCATTACTCTGGGGATGAAACCCAGAAGAAAGACTGACCGTCGCCCCCAACAATCTACAAAACTCTCTCCAAAATTTGGATACAAACTGAGGCCCCCTGTCAGAGACCACGTCTATCGGGAGGCCATGAATGCGAAGAACGTGGTCGATAACAGCAACTGCTGTTTCTCTGGCAGACGGTAATTTAGGCAGAGGAATGAAATGAGTTGCCTTCGAGAACCGGTCCACCACGGTCAAAACCACCGTGTT